CCGGACATTCCGGATGAGGGACAACTTTTTTTTTTTGGACCACTCTAATCTACACATACAAAAAAAATAAGTTTAGGCTTCTTTATTTTCCATCTCCTAATACTTCATTCAAATCTGTTCGAACGATGATTTATGTATTTGCAATATTGTGACATCTGTTGAACGTAAATTTGGTGACTTCAATTCATTGAATCGCAAAGTTTTCAGTCGAAATATTCGAAAGCTTTTCCTTTCCTCAATGAAGCAACTTTTTTCGGTCAAATACATGACAATTACACATTTTATTATTATTTATTTGCGGGACAACCTTTTTCTTCAAGTCAAAATAAATAGAAATAGAATCAAATAATTACCAAAAGCATGTTTATTTATTCTCGCTCAACAATTTTTTTTAATCGTATTTAAATTCGATCGATCATCATTGAATCGAAAAAAAATCTCACTTTCTCTGAGATTGGGTTCATGGAAAAGTATTTTATTTCTGTGAACGGAATCATGTGAATGTGAATCGGTGCAAAGAATTTCCTTTCGTTCAAACATAATGTGCCATCTGTTGATCGTAAACGCAAGCAATGTGTCCTTGTGATGCGCTTCCCTACACTCGTTACACCCTCAATAAGCAAACTTTTTACGCTTTTACTCGGGCTGTGGCAGTGCTTTTGCGTGGCCAAAAACATTTCAAAATGTTTTCAACGAAATGAATTCAGCCAATTTGGAGCTTTATAAACGAAGAATATGGGATAATAATGGCTTAAAGTTCAAAAGAGCCACCAAATTTTGTTTTAAGAAACTTCGAAATAGTTTTTCCACATTTCAAAGGTGGATCATATATGTTTAATTCGATAATTAAATTTGTAATGGAAATAAAATCGCCACAGAATGATGTTTTAATTTAAAAAAAAAATTGAATGGTATGAAATTCGTATTCAAACAAAGGGGAAAAGGACTTGGTGAAGTAAATGAATGAAAATTGAGGGAAAAAATGTACTTTTTCCAGCCAGAACAAACTATCAATATAATAGATCACCCCAAAAAAAGTGTAATGGGAATGAACGAGAAAGATAGTGAGTTAGAGAAAGAAGAAGAGAAAAAAAAGCACCGAATGACTGGCGGAAAAATCTACATAAATATTGTACGAAGAAAGGAAAATTAGCATTTATATGGCATTTGATGTGTATATTGTTGTGTTTGGGCTAACAAGGCGTTTGCGTAATATTTATGCCGATATAAACTAATAATATGGATTACATGACGGAAAAAAGAGACTGTTTGGTAGTAAACTGGGCATGGATGGACAATATAATGTAAAATTGAATCTCATGACTTGGTCGATGGTGTGTGTATACATGTGTGTGTGTGTAGTTCTGGGCAAGAGTGCATTTTCAGAGTTGATTCTCGTCAAATTTATAGCGCTATCATAATAAATATGCATGTGGAAAATAAATTGACAAGAGAGAGAGAAAGCGAAAAAAAATCTCGTATAAGCCGAGCACATGTTTTAACAAGGCACTGGCGACTGGTTGCGTCCATAGCTCACTCAAATACTCAGCGCAAACGTCATTATCATCGTCGCGAAGTCAGAGCTCCGCAACAAACAATTGTGACCGTAACATTTCGCATAAACGAATCTATTAACATATTTACATGTATCACACACATACGTATGGGGCTGCTACACGAAATCGAATGTGTCTCAGCAAAATCGTCATTATGCAAAAGCAAAATCGTTAGCCGAATTGCAGTTAAACATTGTCTGACGTCACGTGACCAAATTGCTCTTAATACATAACTTTCATGTGTGTCCGAACACCGTCCAAATCGTCTTACATTTTCGTCTCTTCGGGGTGGTTTTTGTTTGTTTGTTCTTTCTTTTTCGCTGCCCGTACAGTGAATTACGATTTGTATCAATTTATTTATGGCTCAATTCAATTTAATTGCATATCGTTTTACATGTTCAGAAGTATTTTCGAAATGCAGCCATTCGCCGAAAAGAAAAGTGATTTGGTCAACGAGTTGGAATTTTTCGTGTTTTTTTCTTTCTTCTCTCAAATCCGAAAATCAGGGATTCTATTGTTTATTTCCGGTTCGGCAATGTTCCAATTGTTTGCAACATTTCACATCGATAGGAACTAATGGAAATGAGCCCTTCGATCGATATGATGATGATATGAAGATTCACCAACAAGGGATTGTGTGTGTGTGTGCGTGTGAACTTTTCCTGATGACTTAACAATAATGCACTCGATGTGATTGAGTTGCAAAAATCGTCAAATCACTATTTATTGACACAATTAATGTCGGTGCTATTCCCATGAATAAACAAACATTTGAAGCGACGAAGAAAGGAGAAAAAACAAACGAATCGCATAAATTGTTGCAAATCAAATCGTGATACAATGCCACTGTCGGCTGTTGTTCTTGCATTGGTTTCACTGTTGTTGTTTGCTTCTTTTTTTTCTTTTCCATTCATTCGTATAGCCTTTCAGCTCTTGAAAATGTGTATAAATGAGTGAGTGGCAACGTTCGCCGTACGGCATCGAGATGAATAAACAAAATTCACGCCAATTAAGCAATTTGAGATAGTTGCCACCCCAACGATTTGATATCAATATAAATACATAATCGTTGTCGTGGTCGACGATGCGCCTCTTTGTGTTTTGTTTGCTGTCATTTTGCTCTTCTTTAGCAGGACTTTTTTTCCATTCACAATCGCAATGCAGCAGACTCAGATGGAATACCAGGCAGTTTCCCTATAGAAAGTTATTTTTGCAATTCGTTTTTTTTCACTTCTTCATACTTTTGTTACGGATTTTGATTCACTGTTTCGCGTCAGAGAACGAGTACGCTCGTGAACTTAAAAGCGGGCGAGCAGGCAAGAGAGAGAGAGAGAGAGAGAGAGAGAGAGAGAGAGCGATCAATTGTGTGTGCTCTATGAATAAAATGAATTGAACATGCATCAATGTGAGAACATGCGTGTTCGATGCCACCAGTCGTATTAATGGCACGTACTGAATGAAAAACCAGTCAACCAACCGACCCTTTTTCTCATTCTTCCGGCCATTGTTCAATTGTTTGCAGTGTATCGAAACGGCCTTTTTTCCATCATTCCAGCCTATCTATCTCATTTTTACCCCCTCGACGTTGTTTTTGCGCGTTAGCTCTTTTTTTCTGTTTCACTCTCTCGATGCTCTTTATATCCAATGTGATTTCCATACCGAATTCGCAGCAGCGAGAGCATGGGTTATGAAATTTATAGTTTTATTTCATTCAATATCACAATTGCCCACACGCTATTTAACATTCAATAGAAAATTTATTGGAATATATTCACGTGAATTCGCTCGTACCAGGAAGAGAGAGAGAGAGAGTTGAAAAAATGAACCCAACTCACTATATTCGTGCGTTTTGCCTCTCTCAATTGCCAAACAAACATACGTCGGACGAAAGTATCATTTTCAGTTGTAATGATTTGTGATGTTTGTTGATTTAGCGTCGGTCGCCTGATTTTTTTTCCTCTCTTTCTCTCTCTCTCTCTCCCTCCCTCGATTCCGATAAGTAAATGATAGTTTTGGGTACAACAATTAACCTTAACGATTTAATGAAAATAAGCGATCGAAGCGTGTGAATCAATGCTCACTTCATTTGACCCTATATGATAAAAAAAAGATAATTTTAATGATTCATGTTCGTTTTGCTGTATTTCAATAACAAGAGAAAAAAATAATTCACCATTTCTTTTTTGTCTGTTGTTTCATCTCAATCGGCCTCTGAAGTACTCTCACAATTTTCCCATCGAACTTCGGAACACACTTCCGCATTGAATACAGTTAAGTACTATGCGCAACGAATTACACACTCACCGCATGTGATATACGCATTCACACTAAACGTGCACCACTTTTTCCATAGCCAGTTCATTATTTGCAACACGTTTTCTGCATCATCATTATGATGCCACCGTGAATAGCAACTAAAATTAGTTTTGCTTTTTGAAACACTTAAATTAAGTGATCATCCACCCGTTTTTATTACAATGTTTTTGTTTGTACTTTTGTGTGCTTTACACTTCAACAAACACTTTGTGGTGACTTTATTTGAACGTTAGCTTTTCTGTTCGAGTTTAACCGAATAGAGAAGAAGAAGAATAAGGAAGATAATGAGATTCAAGGAAGATGACTATGGATGTTGATTGTTTTAATTGAAATAGATTTTTATACAATTGATAGCTATGATTTAGCTTTAAGCTAAGAATATCACTGTTATTGGAACAATTTCTTAAATTGCAATTCATTTCGGAAACTCAATGTGATATGTAAATTAAAGGACCGTTGCAACCTGCCAGGAAATTTGTCTAACGAGAATGGAAAGAGATTGGTGTTTCAATCTAAATGAAACATGATTCCTTCCAGAAATGCCCATTTTCATGAAATATTTGTACAAAAACCTATTCTTTTAATCTGACTCCTCTTCCAATAGATTATGAACCAATTCAAAATGATAGAAATAAGTTGTTTTCATTTTAGTTTTAATGTTCATTCAATTGACCGTCGATTCCATTGCATTTCGTTCGATTATTGAATCAAAAACGCTACATCAAATCATAAAAAATTCATAAAAGTGCATCCGTTATACGTTTCTTGCTATTTTGCTCAACTAACCTTGTCGCAATTTTGAATCAACAATACTGTCCATGGATTGTGATAGAGATGAGGTGGATAAGGTGTTGGTGGTTGGAATGGTTGTCGATCCCGTTGATATAGTTGTCAACGCGTCGATTCGATGTTTCTGTTGTAAGTGTGCATTGTTTATCGTTGTGGAAGCGTTGCTGTTTGACGAATTAAAATTATTACTATTGATATGGCCAAGATTGGCGTTTGTCAGACAGCTACTGCCGAATGACATACTGTTTTCTAGCGATTCTGCCAGCCGCGGCGCCGTATATATTTCACTGTAATAATAATGAACATCATTAGAACTGTATAATAAGTTTAGTTTGTATGGCGGTAAAAATGTTTCGTCAAGTTTAGTCATTGAAAATTATCATTTTGTTTCTTTTTTTAATCGACAGGTGGAAAGTTTCCACTGGAAACTTCAGAACGCCGCTCACGTTCATTAAAAATTTCAAATTGAGAAGATCTTATTTTTTTATACTATTCAATCAAAGAATCAAACAGAGCTTAAGATGATTCGATGGATGTGATTAAGAGCAGAGTATGTAATCTAGACTATTTTTTTCATTAAAAAAAGCGAAAATTTTATTCGACCTCAAAATGGTTAAAGACGATAAGACATATCTGTCCGCAGCAGGGTAATAGATCACCTATCTATTGTTGAACTTTCACAATTTTAGCCGAAGACTAAACTTTGAAGAATAATCAAACAATACTCAACCTTGAAAAAAAATATTTAAAAAAAGAAGAACATACTCTTCTCTAAATCTAAGTCCACAGAACCGTTCATGAATTGCATTGATTGGAGCTTCTAATGGAATATGTGTAAGTGTTTGTTTGGTTGAGAGACAGTCTTAGATAAGTTCAAGTTTCTTTGAATAATCTTCATGACTTAAACTATTCTGAATGCTCATTCTTTCGTTTCAAATCTCACCTAAACGCACTCGTTGTCAAAAATGAGTTGCGATCCTGTAGTGCAGCTTTCGCTTTTTTCACACTTTGCTTGATTTGCTCGAATGTCGATTGATGAAACCGATATGTGGCCCAATCAGATGAACACTGTGCCATCCCGAATCCATCCTCTGATTTAATCTGTGGATAACACAAAACTAAGCTTACAATTCGATTCATTGAAGAAACATCAAAAAAGATCTGCTCCAAAATGTTATCAGTATCTATTAAAGCATTCAGGAGGCATATCTTTAAAAAAAAAACAACAAGAACCGATTTGTCGACATTTACTATAACAGCTCTATGTTTCAAGTAGTGCTAAAAATGTTGTTGTACGAAGAAGACTTGGAATCGCCAAACATTGCAATCTTTATGCACATTATTTGATTTGAAAAAAAAAACGAATATAAATAGATAGCACCTCTTTGTGGTATTAACCTTCAAACCGTGAAATGTATTTTCTAACGTTGTTCGTGAAACCGGTGCCTGAGTGCCCATAATGCATTTTAAATGGAAAATGTCAGTGCTTTCTTAAATTTTTATTCTTAATTGTAAATATTTCAGTATTTTTTGATCGAAAAAGTATGAAAATTACTTTGAAATGTGATAAAAGTCATAAAAATCGAAATATGAAAGACAACAGCAAGAATTTTTTCAACAAAATGGAGATTGCAATGTTGATCTCTTCACAAAAACATATACATACAAATTCCACTATGGCCGATTTTGACGTCAAAAATTGAGATTTTGAACGGCAGGTTGGATCAAAAAGTTATGTATATCACTAGAAAGGTCTTGAAAAGTAGATATGTGGTATAAAACTTCAAAATAGGCCGGCATTTGGCCAATATTTGGCCGTTGGGATTTTTTTTTGGCCAAAATTGATAAAATGACCATATTTTGATAAAATGATGATCGATTTTGATATTTTATAACTCAAATTACATGTAATTTTCAAGATCTTTCCATTGATGTATATTTCATAGTTCCCACATTGATTTTAATACGCAATTTGTCGAAAAATGTATATGGGCAGGGGCACCCATTTCACGTATAGCGCATCACACATGTTTACGCGCATATGTGGTAAGCTAGTGCGCGTATGTGGTTATGTTAACGCAATTTTTATAGCCAAATGTTCAACGAATCAAACCATAGTTATTTTATTAATTAATGATAAGAAATAATTAAGATATAAGCATTCAAAGTTGGTTTTGGGCATACAGTGCCCATTTCACGGTTTGAAGGTTAAAAATAGACATGAACAAATTGTAGTATCGATTTTACAGAATAATTAAGAAATTATTTCACATTCACTTGTTCATATGTTCTTATTATTATTTCGCGATGGAGTATTCTTTGATTGTGGTTAGAACGGTAATGTGTTTGTTCAATCAAATAATTTATTGCAAAACGATTAAAATCACAATGCGAAACTTTCACATCAAATTTGTTAAATATTCCGAATCACTTCACAAAAAGGTGCAAATCATGAAAGGAATTGAATAAAAAGGATCAAATCCACCCACTTATCTCAATCACATTTCAAATATGTCGTTGTTGTGATACAAACCTGTGCAATTGGTGATGCTCGTTTTAAGTCCAATGCAGACTGATATGAACATGAGCTTTCGTACATTTTGTTTATCTGACGAACCGATTATTGAATTTGAAAATTTATTTTCGCTGATCACTTTGATGACGATGGAGAGATTCGATGGAAAAACAGACTCGAAATTGAAAAAAAATACAGTTCAATTGGTTTTTTTTAAAGTTTTCTTCACTTTGCGATAGATGATCTTGATTTGGAAAGAAACTTCATGAAAAAAACTGTTTTATTATTGCAAACACATCATGTTGCTGCGGTTTTTGTTATTGTTCGGCTTGATCTCCCACTGAAAATGATGAAAGTATTCAATTATCGTTTCGAGTCCATTAACAAATTTTTGTTATCGTACCGTGTTCAAAATATGTTCACAAAATTGGCAATTCTTTTCTCACAATTTATTTTCTTTCTCTCTCTCTCTCTCTCTCTCTCTCTCTCTCTCTCTCTCTCATACACACACATTTAATTTGGGTTGTCTAGTTAAATTAGGAAGTCATTAGCACACGTTGAGAGGTAACAATAAATAGAAGCACCAAGGTGAATATATTACAAAATTGTTGCGTGATAAATTCACGGTAAAGGTGAAAAAATATAGTTTCCTCTTTGTCATGAAACTAACGAAGAGAAGAAGGGGAAAAACAACCGACAACAGAATGTGTTAAACAATTTCACTATGCGCCGGTGTTGATTATTCGCTTGAGTATGCCAGTTAATAGTTGTTCGGAGTTTCGGGTGAAAAAAAAAACGAATCAAGAACGGCAAATAATTGGCATGAAGTGTTCTAATTACACTCTGCGTTTTGCACACACGCAAAAAAAACACACATCAACGAAACACAAGACTAAGCGAGCGAACGAACGGAATCAAGCTGTCAACAAGTCTTTGGGTAATCGCGCGCGCGAAAAAAACCGCTCTTCACAATTTCAATTTTCTCGCGGAAAAAAACGAAACGTTTGATCGGAAAATCCGTCACACAAAACAAAAACTGATCACACTGTGTGCTGTTGTTGCTGGTTTTTTCATTCTTGTTGTTGTTCAGAACTCAGGTCGAAACTTTTTCACGCGCTATAATTCAAACGGTAAAACTAAAACTAATTGTTATTTATAAGTTTTTAGGCTGTTTTTCAAGATTCTTTTGTCGGGATGGTAATATTGTCGTTGTTATCGTCGTAGTCGTGTCGTCGTTTATAGTTAAACATGCGGATTCCGTATGTATAAATTAAATGCAAACAACGGAATAATTTCGGTCATTTAAACGGATAGAGCACCAGATAAATATATGATTTTCGGTGAATGTTTGTGTTTGAACGGTGCATTTACAAATATTATGGCAAACACACATAAGCACATTTAATAATTTCCTTGCCACTCACACAAACACACAGACTTCACACACATACACATTCACAAGTTGTTCGCTGTTGGAAAAATCGGAAGGGAAAAAAAAGAAGTTTAAGCGAAAAGAGCATCAGATACAAAAATGAAACAATCCACAACTCAAGAATAATATGTTAAGCGAGATCGGTTTTGGCTATGTATGTTGGCCATACATATTACAAATGGTTGAGCTTATGCCGATATCTATGTGGCATGATGTGGTATTGTTGAACGCGACGACACACGGCATTGGTGAAATTTTTTTTTTTTGCTATTGTGTCTCTTCTTCGATATATGCGAAGAGTTCGGAGTATACACAAGGGCTGAAATTATGTGTGTATGTGTAGTTGGGCGAAATGTTGGCAACAAATATGCTGCCACACATGAGTCAGAGTGAGAGAACGATTGTTGATTTGATATTCCTTGTTGGCCTATGCCAACCACATCGGTCTTTTCCATGCCAACATTACACTATATACAGACATCATGCAATGGGCTTTTCATCGCCAATACAAAACTCAGCGTCAACATTCGAAAACATTTACGCGTCAAAGATGTATCGATGTAAAGTGTGCGCGTCAATAATTTTAACTTAGTGGATTAGTCTTCTAGTTTTTTTTGTTCCAAAATATTATGGTTCATTTGATCGGGATGCATAAGTTAAAATTGAGTAAATTTTCAAGTGATAGTGTTCAATCCATTTTGTTCGTTCATAAGCAGCCGATTAAAGTGTATACACGATGCAGTGGAAGAGAGAGGGACGATGAGGCGACTGTAAATAGACAATAAACGACACACAGCAAAAAAAGAGGATGGTATCCAATCCATGTGAGGAACAGGAACATGCATGGATACAATCTGTTAGTGGTTGAATTGATGCGACGATTTGAGGCGTGGTTTCAATTTTGACAATCCCAAAAACGCATGCACAGTCTCACGCTCTCTCTCACATACACTCACACGTACACTGTGTGTGTACTGAGTGAGCGCATACAAGTACAACTGATACCATGCTATCTCTTCATTGGATTGTGTACAGCAAGCGATGATACTCGTGAGCACAAAAAGATGAAGAAGAGAACGAAAACGATGCGAAAAGAAAAGAATCGCTTGCGATTTTAATTTCTACATCGCCATAAATAACTGCTCGTGCTTATGAACTGAAAAATTTCCAACGAAGACGTATGGGATTTTACGGCTGTCATCACACATTTTTGGGCAAAAGATAAGTGAGAGTGAGAGAGAGAGAGAGAGAGAGAGAGAGAGAGAGAGAGTGACTCGAAATAGAGTATGTGTGTGTGCACCAGCTTCTTTGATACTTCTACTTCTACTTCGAACGAGGAATATCAACAATGTTCAAGTTTATTGTATGTTTCTCTTTTTTTCGGTGGATTTTTCAAGCGGGTGACAGAAGAAGGAAGGATATTCATCTTACATACAGACACATTGTTGTATCCCCCTTTTTCTCCATCTTCTTTGCACATCTCCAATCATATGATTTATCTTGGTATTTGTTGAATAAATTTTCCTCCAGCATCAGCAAACCAATGTGTAACCGAAACACCGACGACAAGATTTCTCACTCTCTCGCGTTTCCCAACAATATTATGGGCTGTACAACAGAATCAAGCCCAAAAAACACACAGATAGATTTTACCGTATATATAAATGAGACGACAAGCGAATGAGAGAGAAAAGTAGGTGTATAATGCGATTCACAACAACGGGATGATGCGTGCATGAATCTTGTGTGTAGGTGTTACTCTAAATGATGTGCGTACGAAAGGAAAATGGAGTCTTAGCAAAACCCCATGCAACGAAACACACAGTCGAAATGCTTTTTTTCTCGCTAGAACTGACTGCTCATGATTTATACGGATTAGAACATAGCACAAGGCACACATACACACACCCATGCACAAACCGTGAAAACTTGATCCAAGAATAAAGTGTATAATGAGGATCCATTCATTTAATGATAACAATGCATTTTGCCTTTTCATTTACTTTCGCAACTTAGTCATCCACTGAAGAGATGTAGAAGAGAGTTTGTAGTCGAATGAATATTTTTAACGCCAACAAATACTGTCCCGTGTGAAAAAATAGTAACTGAGCAGTCAGTTAACTAATTTGGGACAAAAATGACTTACTTTGATTGACATTTCAGTACAAAGTGTAGTGTAAGTCTATCATAGTTAACTGAAATCATTTGAAGTTACAAGTCAATCTAAGTTGCTTCATTTGGGACCAAGTGATTTTCTTAGAACAAAAATATAAATTCAATCAACTAAAGTCAACTGAAGTTATAGTCAGTCAGTCATTTCTTTTTCACACGGGGTGTTCTTGAGAGTTTAATTTTCGGTCAAATTTTGATGCTTAAAAAAATACTTCATTGAATTCATATGTCATTTTGGATGGACGTCGTTTTTGGCCAAATTGAGTGACGGGCATAACGCCCCGGACGGACAGGACAGCATGCTCTAATGTAATAGAAACATTGAAGTATGCTGTCCGCCCGGGGCATTATATCCTTCACACGCCAAATTCATCGAAATGCTATACTTTGAAAAAGACCAAGAACTGAATCGAAACAACTAACCAAAAGTTACAGAGAAATTTAAAAAAAGAAAAACAAAGAAAAAGAAAAAAGGCACAAAAATAAAGAGAAAAGAATGAGATACGTTTGTTGATTCTATTATTTTCGGATTTTCGATGTCACCGCTGCTTTGATTCTTATGTTCATCTAGATGGCGTTGCGATTATTACGGAGGAAATTCGTAAAATAATCTACCATAAACTGTATTCGACAAAGTTGGTCGGACAAACGTCTTCCAATTGAAAAATTACAATGGATCCCCGTCAATTACAATCACCCAAAAATTAGTGGCATTTTTTGGACGCAGAAGGCATTTTGTCCGTTCAAAACGTTCTCAGAAATCACAAGTTGCCGATAATTCTAAAAAAAAACAAATGAGCTTGTAATGAGCGAGGGTCTACTGTAGAAGAAAATCCAAATCTTATGTCATTTTCATTAAATCGATCAATGAATTGTGATACAAAATATAAAACTTTTCTCCATTTAACTCATTATTTCAGATAATTATAAGATCTGACTCCAATCAGCTGGCCTGATTCAGTCCTCTTTTCTTCTCCTGTTTCGGCTTCGGTTTTAAATTTTCCAAATCCTTTGTCTTTTTATTTCAATTAATCATTTTTCCTTCAAACGAAACGAAAAACCGTATCGTATGCTACATGTTCGACACGCTGAATGGATACGAGAAATGCGTATAGCTTATTATCATAGATAAAAATCTCGTTCAGCACTCACCAAATGAGACGAAAATCATTTGCGAGTCGCTAGAAAATGTATGCAAAAATAAGTTTGTGAATTATGAATTAAAATGTAAAATTACCATAAAATTCTTTCGATTTAACGACGACGATAACGGGGAGGTTTGATTGAGGTGCGTAATGAATGAAACGGGTTGAGACAAAGCGAATAAATGAACATTATGATATTTGAATGCCGGCGACGTCGTCGTCGTCGTCGTTGTCGTCAGTGTCAGAAGAGAAAAGGAAATGAAAAATGAGTTTTAGTTGTGCGTCGTGAGTCGAATTTGACAAACCTTGAAAACTAAACACACACAGGCTGTATGTTTTGGCAAACGAATTACCAAGAAGTGAGTTAAAAGACATGGGCTTCGTTACCGGTGTGCATTTTATATGCTACCATTTAGAAGTGTCGTTCATTCAACGAAATCGGCTTGGGTGGAATTTGCATTGCAATTGTCAAACTGGAGGCGAAACACATCATTTGGAAGACAGAAAGAGAGACAAACAAAATCAACAACAGTAACATTTTCGAATTATGCACTCCGGCAAACCGTTTGCACTTATCATATACAAATACGGCTCTATAAATGGAAATGCTTGTCCTTGCCCCCTTTTCGTGTATGCGTACACAATATTTTCTTGACATAATACACACTCACGCTCATTCGTTCGCCAACTCAACCAAACAATACTATTAAAATCAACTACCGACACGTGCCTCACTTACTTCGATACTGTGCTGGTTTTTTTCTTCTTCTTGCTCTATGTTGTGTGATATGGCAGACTTTCGTTGCCTTTTATGTTGATTATTTATTTCTTTTGCGTTATGGCTTTCGACTGCTGTTGCATTTTTTTAAATTGAATTCGACAACAGACACACACACTCGCCGAGATCCTTTTTACTCTCTCTCTCTCTCTCTCTCTCTCTCTCTCTTTTTCCTCTCTCCCATCCGCCGTATGCATTTCAATAGACACGTGATAATTGGCAAAGTTTGCACCATGCCAAATAAATGACTCTATTGTTATAAAACAGTTTGTTTATTATTATTTGGCTGCTTATGCCATGTTCTCTTCAAATCACTGTAACGCTCTGTAATTACAGATTTAAATTAAATCATTCCATCATCGGATTGCCTGTTCAATTGACTGTTTAAATAGGTTTTATTGAATTAGTTTACAGTGCCTACTTTTGCGATTTTGAGGTTTTTCACCACACGAGCTTGACTTCTCCTTCTTTTTCTTCGGGTTATTTACTAATTTTTCTATAGTTGAATGCTCTAGAATGGAAACATTTTATTTTCTATTGAAATAAGAAACTGCCCCATACGTTGTTTTTATTCTAGAGGATTTAGTTTCACATAAATGAATTCATCGACCCATTTCACATTCCTTTTCAAACACTGATAGAATCTATTAAAAAAATCGTGTTGATCAAAAATCATTTTCAATAGTTGAAGTTACTTTGAATGAAGTTAAAGTGAATGAATGAAATAGAAAATCAAAACTTTTCAAAAGAAAATCGGTGTGATGCCTGTGATTTTCACTCTCTTATCATTTATCATTCAAATCAAATGTTCTAAACACATACATCAGATGTGTTTCAAACAAAAGTTTCACTTATTCTTAACTGGTTGTTCGGTATACAGTGCCGTGCAAAAGTTTGAGTACGACTATAAAATCCATATTTCAATGTCTTTTTGTCCCATTCAACCCAAATAATGGTTTTAATCTGATAGCCTATTGAAATTCAGACTGAATGAAACATTTTGAGGACAACATTTGGCCGGCCTTTGGCCATTTTTGGCCATTAATAAATGGCGGCCAAAAATGAGTTTTTTAACGGGCCAACGGATCAAAAAGTAATGTACATCACTGGAAAGGTCTTGAAAAATAGATTTCATTTTTGGCCTCAAACATTAAAATCGGCCGGCATTTGGCCAAGATATGGCCGTTGGAAAATGGTAAAATGAAACGGCCAATTTTTTCAAACGGCCATATCTTGGCCAAATGGCCAACAATTTGAATGTTTTACACCAGAATTCACATGCACTCCTCAAGATCTTTCCAACAACATATAACATGGCCAAGAAACGGTCGTTTGAAAAAATTGGCCGTTTCATTTTAACATTTTCCAACGGCCATATCTTGGCCAAATGCCGGCCGATTTTGATGTTTGAGGCCAAAAATGAAATCCATTTTTCAAGACCTTTCCAGTGATGTACATTACTTTTTGATCCGTTGGCCCGTTAAAAAACTCATTTTTGGCCGCCATTTATTAATGGCCAAAAATGGCCAAAGGCCGGCCAAATGTTGTCCTCAAAATGTTTCATTCAGTCTGAATTGCAATAGGCTATCAGATCAAAACCCTTATTTGGGTTGAATGGAACAAAAAGACATTGAAATATGGATTTTATAGTCGTACTCAAACTTTTGCACGGCACTGTATGTAGAAATTGTTCCTATTTTTTGTATGTGGGGAGGCAGACAAAATAATACACACCGACTTTCTGTGGAAGAAAAATCAAATGTGAAAGAAACTGTATCAACAACAACGAATCATACTCTTTCTTCTTCTTTTTTTTCTCTGTATTTTGTCATTGTGTGTGTATTTGATTCAGTGCGCCCTCGCTCTCTAAATAAGCGTCTCCTGCAGACGCTCCATTTTTGTTGTGAACGTTCGTCGTTTTCTTTGTTAGAAATACATCGATTTTAATTATTTCCGTCATTTCTCATAACCGTTTTCGCCCAATTAAATTCTGTGTACGTTTTGAATAAAATCCATTATTATTAGATCTCTCTCCCGCTTGCTCGCTCGCTCGTTCGTTCTCTCTTCGCGACTGAGGCAAACGTTTGTTTTCATTTGACAATGCCAAAAGTGCCTATAGAGTGAAAGCATGCTCATTTTCAGAAGAAATAAAGAAATATTCCACGGTTTTTTTTCTCGTTATTTTTCTTTCTTCTTCATGTCGATCGACGTTTTCTGCATAAATTTCATTGAATGGGACATGTAACAAAAGAAAAAAGAATATATATGTATGAAATAACGACACGGAATATGCAAAATACTTATTGCTGCTGGTTTGTGATATTATTCAAGCATGATAAATAGTTTTTCTTTAGCCTAATCGCTTCAATTCTCTCACGGCTTTGTTCTTTCCACCAATTTATCTCGGCTCTATCGCATACAGTCGTATTGATGTCATCACACAAATCAATGTCGCATACTAATGACTTTGGTCAACCAAGCGTAGTTCAACGATTTAATCGCTTTTCTTTGCTTACTTACTTGAACGTTTCAGAGATTTAACAATGTGCACTTGAAAAATACGTGATATTCTGCACTACAGGCATACCACTTGGAGGTAGAGGGGGAGACCCAGAGAGAGAGAGAGAGAGAGAGAAAGAGACTCGACTTTTCTATTTAACAACATTCAAATATAAACAAATTGCAACCAATTGCATTGGTGGTTTTTAAGCTGACCAACATTCTTTCTGTTCAATTTTGGCGCTTTCTTCAATTTGAAAGGTTTCTATTATTCATTCTTCAGTTGAGGAATCGAGTCTCAGGCTTTTTTTTATTATACTATTCATGTATCGAAGCAAACACTGCTTTCTTTGTTCTTCATTTGCTTTAAATGTGAAAAGTAGAAAATGTGTATTCATTTGTGACATTTTCAGAGTCTTTTTGGTTAAATTTTATTTTTTTCTTCAAATTTTTTTTTCTAATTTACTCTTTTAACTCGATAAAATTGATGTTCGATTTTATTTTCCTTCATTAATTGTTATCGGATTGAACTTTTATATCAACACCTATTTAAATACCGTGACTGAGCGTAAATTTTCTGACTGAATCAAAATTCGTTCAAAATGGGACGATTCCCAAAGTTTTCCTCGTGTTTTTGTTACGATTTGGAAGCTGGCTCCGAGCTTTTGGGCATATTCGAAATAGTCATCGGTGCCATTGTATTCATTCTGTGCCTCGTATTTTACTCCGTTTACATTGAAGCCTTGAGTGACATTCCAAATATAGTATGGCTAGTTTTGGCTATTGTCAGTCGTAAGTGATGATTTACTTGCAATTTAATCGATAATTGAAAAAAAAACATCTTCATTTTTGGACAAAGTAAGGAATTTTTTTGTGTTAGTTAAATTCTTAATTTTTTTTCCCAGTTATACGTATCTTTATTTATGCATACTGGATGCATGGAATTCACAAAGTTAGTCAAATGAATCTCCCATTTCATTTCCATATTTGCATTTCTGTTGCTTTATTCTAATTGTGATTATTGTTAAAGTTGAAACTTTTTTTTATCGGTTTCTTCCACAGAAAAGGCCAGCATTTTTATTGCCAGCAACCGTTTTCGCTGTAATAAATCTTCTTTTTATTAATCCATTCACCGTGACAATTGTGAAGTTTCTGTTCGTGGATGATTTGGTACTTATACATCCAAGTATGATTTTCAACATGCCACACTCGCTTAATTTCATGTTTTCCATCGTACATCTATGCACTATCGGTAAGTAATAGCCATCACAAGTAGTGAATGGCTTTTAAAAACTCCGAATTAATCTAACCAGCCTAAAAATATAATTTCAAACAATTGAATATCTCATAAAATATAGTAAATAATTCAATTTATTATGCATTCATTCATTTTCAGTGCTTAACATGTATCTCTTTGTGGTGCAGTGCTCACTATACAAACAGATGAAGAAAGAGGCTCGTGAACGAAAAAAAGCTGCAAAAATGATTCGAAGCACATTTTAAACGATTCATAAATTCAATTTAATTGATTGTAGAACTGCACCAGCAATCGACGGGCTTGAAAAAAAAAACGTCCATTTACAATATATGAGAAAACGGCAATAATGCATTTCATATTTTACCCATTTGATGAGTTTGAAAACCAGTTAAACTTATCATCTTTTGTGAGCAAATCGAAAATGAATTCAAAACTGTCACATATCATTGAAGATGATATCAACTTACGAGGTTATTGCTATTATTAGGGTGATGTAAATATGTTCACATTTTGTCTACGTAAATATGTTGGATGTACAGTCCAAATCTAATATTGATGATTCGGATTACTAACCAATGCGAATGTTCGATTCAATGTCCAAAATGGAAGAAATTTTTTGACAATTATTTAAAAAATTGTCAAGACGAAAAGGTGATCAATGTGGAATTCTAGTATACTTTGCATGTCCAGTTCCACATTAGCTGCCATTTCTGAAAAAATCAATTGGATTGGTATGAGTTTCTTTAAAAAAATAAAAAATAAAAAATCGACCGTTTTATTTGCATACCTACTTCAAAGCTATACAAATCGGAACCTTTCGTCGAAAGTGATCTGAAAATCACTATCATCAATAGTAGCTAGCTTATTTGCTCTTGTCCATTCACCTTAACCATGGCGAATATTACTCAATTTAACTTTTCACCCGATTTTAAGGCAATAAAACCAATCGAATTAGTATTCCTGTCATAATGCAAACCCCAATCAAAACATAGCAAACTGTGTCAAATCGATATTTCAATCATTTAAAGTTTACTCCGTTTTCATTTTAAATGTTCAAAAATTCACATGAAATAAAAAAGGAAACAGTTGTTCGTTCTCAAGTCAAATCTGAAGAAATTGAATAAAAAAGTTATTAATGTTGGTATCTGAAAATGGCGTCATCAATATTTAATAACTGCTGTGGTTACTTTACATCGAGATCTGGTGGAAAATTTATAGGCTGGTGTATGATATCGATCGGCACTACTATTCTTTTCCTTCTAATTGTGATGATGTTTCTTACAACGCTAAATTGGTTTACAATTTTGTTATTGGTCGAAACGTGTGAGTAACTTTTTCTCGATTGATAAAATTTCATGCGTTAATAGTTATTTCGTTTTACAGGTATCTCCATGATGGTGTTTATTGGCTGGCTCATTGGCATTTATAAAGTAAGCCAGTGTTGTTCTGTGAGAAAATGAAGAGAAAACTTCATGTGTATTTTAATAGGAGAAACGAATTGTAATGATACCAGCCATAATCTGGACTATGTTGTACAGTGGGCTGGGACTTGTCAAATTAGGATTGGTCACTGCTGGCTGTGGAAATCTAATATTTTTCGGTACTAAGTGCAAAGACGGATTCGATGCAGGAATACTTAAAATTCTGACCGTCATTACGGCTTTCATCATCATCGGTCTGTATAGCTCGGATGAAAATTCAGATAGACCATATTTACTGATGCTGTCATTTATTTACAGCGATTAATGTGTACATGTATATTGTTATGTATTTACTTTTCGTTTCTATGGGTGATGTTGATCGGCGCCGAATCCAAGCTATTCAAAGGGATCCATGAATTTGGCATAATTTTCGTCGATAAAAATGTTGTTGACAAAAATGGTTTTACTTTAGCAAAATTAGGTTTTTAAATGAAAAATTCACTTAATTTTGATAACTATATGGAATGAAAATTGTCTTGAAAAGAAATGAATGAGAGTTCAAAACTCAATGACACCAAATTGTTCAGTGGCGTAATTTACGGACTTCTTTCGGAGATCGAGACGATGTTAGTCATTCAAGATATTTCAGTAAGGAAAAATTAAAATAATCTTAATGCAATGAAACAGTACAATGGACGGTTGGGTCTCTTGTAGTCATTTTATTCGATACTAGCGTGTTCACCTCTATATGTACATATGATGGTATTTATTACCTGGAAACGTGTATGTCATTTGTAATTATTAAGTAAAACTTCAGAAAATGACTTTAATGGTTTTCAAAGGTATCCAAATTTGATTTATTTTCAATTTTCAAAGCATTAATTGGTTCATTATAACATTGTGTCTTACCTATTGAACACTGGCTTGCACCATTGTTTCACCAATGTTCCATTAAAGTCTTCATTTGGCTGTTGAACATACAACATCGAATAACTGACCTAAAATCGAATGAATTAACCTAAGTGAATTTCAAGTTAAAATCGTTTTTCAGTCGCAAATCATGAATTTTATTGGTATAGCGATCATATGCATTGGTTTTTTATCAGTTGCAGCTGCAAATGGTATGCATACAATAGCTGAGAAAACACAATTGTTCGGAAAATTGAGTGAATTTTTAATATATTTTTTTCAATCAAAATTGATCATTGTAGGGCGATATGATGGTAGAGCTATGATGTGTGTTATAAATTTAAATTCATCAACACCTGCTTATGATACAATCCTTGGTTCAGATTTGAGCTTTTGCACACATTTAATTTGTTCCGATTCTTCTATGGAATCAACAACAGGTATTTGATATTTTACCTCATTCAAACCCTTTTTACAAAAATTGAAAAAATTAATTTGGAAGAAAATTTGTATTTTGGTAAACCAATGTTTTTTTTTTTCGTCAAACAACAGGTTTCGAATGGACCCAAGACCAACGAAAGCAATACAAAAAGTGTGTGAATACACGCACACGTTACCCGTATTTAAAAGTAATTTTCAAATAATTTTCAAAATTAAAATAAGATTTCGTTCATTGACTATTGACTGAATTCTTGTAGATTTTTTACTCTGTTGAGAAAACGGCGAGCGAATACAGTGAGATAGCAAGTGATTCGAAACAGCGACAAAAATTCATCAAAACAGTTTTCAATATTGTTTCCCGTAACAACTTCGATGGATTAAATTTGAATTGGCAGTACTCAGAACGAAGGTTTGATCAATTGGGCTGTAGCTATAGTTTTGTGATTCGTTTATGTACTTTCTAATTCATTCGTTCATTGTTTTTTTTTTTGTATCATTCTCAGACCTGCAGCCGATACTTTTAAGTCGACGAACAGAAAGACACAGGTGTTATTGGTCAAGGAACTGAATGAAGCATTAAAATCGAACAATTTATTGCTTAGCACCACATTCCACGAAATACAACATAATCTAACCATAGAAGATTTATCTTCTAAGCATGGAAATGTTCAACTTTTGGAAATGTTTGACTTCGTTTCCATATCAAAATACGTTGATTATTTGGTGATTGAGTCGAATGAAGAAGATGGTTTGATCAAATCGGGTGTGTCATCGAAGAAACTGGTCACGGAATTAACGCTGAAGCAATTTATGTCAGATGACAAAATTGGACAGTCTCTTGATATTGTAAACAGAGAATTAGTGGCAAAAAATATGAATAATGTCAACCCGAAACTTGGATTAGCTGGTATTTTTGTGGATGTTTCATTTAGAAATCCATTGAGAAATGAAAATAAGAGCCAACTTGAGATTATGATGCAAAATATGCATATGGATAATTTAGTCCAAATTCTCTTACAGAACATCAAAGCGGTGGTTATGTTATTAATTGAAATCGATAGACCTAGAAAAAACTCGTTAAAAGCATACAATAAAGCTATAAATCGAATGACGGAAAAAATCGATCAATTCTCCAGAGCAGAAATCAATTCAGCCATGCAGTCAATCAAGTCTGGTTTCAAAATCTACCAACAGGGTTTGAATCTGTATTCACAAATAAGTGGGAATCGTATAATGCCACAAATGGTATCTAGTGCATTAGCTGAGGTTTTATTCAAAGAAGATGATGAAACCGAGATTCAGAACAGAGTGAATATATTTGATGGAAATACGGATCCTTTCTTCAAAGCAGAGCTAAACTCAGCCGTCGAACATGCCAAAGACGTTTTTGAGATCGTTCAACTGTATATGAAGACATTTTCAATAATCGATTGGAATGAAAGCAGAAAGAAATCATTAAACGCCTACAGCATAGGACTGAATAAAATACTGGATAAAATTGATCCTTGCTCCGATACAGAAATAAATTCAGCCATGCTGAACATCAAGTACGGTTTAAAGGTCTGCCAACAGGGTTTGAATATGTATTCAGGAATAAGCGATACGAATGAACATACCACAAGAAGTATGCCCTTTAGTATGTTCCTTAGCAAGGCCATCGATAAGGTGATAGAAAACTAGTAAATGTTGAATCCATGGATAGCAAGGGGAACCCATGAAGAATACCCATACTTGACTATAGACATATACATTTAACGCATCACTTCAAAATCAATCATTTTGAATTGTTTATTCAAAATTGAACTCTCATACGCAAATAGATTATTTCACACGTAATTTTGATCAATAAAATATCTTAAGACAAAAAACTTTTTTTTTTTGTTAATTCTGTTCATAATAAACTGTTTTTATGTAAAAAGTGTGAAAAATTGTAGATATAATTTTCAATTATCTTTCGGATTGTTGAATATCAATACGGTTATTAAAGCAGAGAATGAGAATTCATCGAAACAGTGCAATCGATGAGTCTTTTCTAGTCATTCTGTCCCTTTTGACTGCCACGGCATCAGGCGGGAGTGACTTAATTTTCGATTTAAATAAATAATATTTAAAATCGGTATCGATCTCTTACAGTGGATATCTCACTTCAAAATTTGTATAACGTAGAATTCGGAAATTTCTACAGTTAAATGGCACTCAAATGTTATGAAAAAACCGCTGCTGTGTTTCATTACTTTCCAGGTATAATTGGCAGTAAAAATGGACGATTCATTTCATCCCATACATGTATATAACATACACGTTGTAATTTGTAACTATTGAGCGATAATTCATTTTTCGGGCCTTAATAGCTCTAGACTATCTCCAAATGTATTTCTGATGTCTCAAAGCATTATTTGGCTCATTTTAACGTCTTGTCTTACCTATTAAATACGGACGGATAACTGTTTGAGCATCACAGTTGGTTGGACGCTGAACAAATAACATCAAATAACTGACGTGAATCTAACTTAAAGTGAATTTCAAGTGGAAATCGTTTTTCAGTTTAAAATCATGAATTTGTTCGGCATTGTGATCATGCGATCATATGCATTGGTTTGTTATCAATTGCAGCTGCAAATGGTATGTATAAAATTGCTACAAAAATATAATTGCTTAAATTAATGAACGATTTTTTTTATTTAATAAATATTGATTATAGGCGCATATAAGAAATCTAGGATGTGCGTAATCAACTTAAACTCATCGGTGGGACATGCTGATGCTATAACTCTTGATTCAGATTTGAGTTTGTGCACACATTTGATTTGTTCCGATACTTCTATGGAATCAACAACAGGTCGTTTGCTCCATTCAAATTATCACAAAAATTTCCAAAAATTACAACAAATTTCGTTCGAAGGGAAATTGAACATTTTATCGATGTTTTTTTTTTGTTTTATTTTTTCTTCAAACGACAGGTGTTAAATGGACAAAAGACCAACGGAAGCAATACAAATAGTGCCTAAATACGCGCACACGTTATCCACATTCAAAAGTAATTTTCACAATAATTTCCAAAATAAAAATATGATCTCGGTAAATATTTAATTGTCTATTGATTGAACTCTTGTAGATTTTGTACTCTGTTGAGAATATGGCGAGCGAATACAGTGAGATAGCAAGAGATTCGAAACAGCGACGAAAATTCATCAAACCATTTCGATGGAGTTTATTTGGATTGGCAGTACTCGGAACAAAGGTTAGACCAATTTAGGTTTGTGATTCATTTATGTGCATTTTCTAATGTTACTGTTTCTCTTTCTTTTCGTTAATAATTCTCAGATCTGCAGCCGATACTTATAAATCCATATTTATGAAATGAAAGGCAGCGGTGTTATTGGTCAAGGAACTGAATGAAACATTAAAATCGAAAAATTTAATGCTTATCACCGTCTGGAAGACGAAGTGTTGAAAACACGCCCACAGAAGATTCATCTTCTACGCATAGAAATGTTTTATCGAAAATGTTTGACTTTATTTCCATAGCAAAATACATAGACTATTTGTTGATTGAGTCAAATGAAAATATTTTCGATGCTTTTATCAAATCGGGTGTATCATCGAGAATTTTTTTATGAAAATACCGCTGGCATCGCGATTCATGGCAAAGGACGCAGAAAAGCCGCAGAAAAAATTGGCTGGGATTCTTGTGGACAACATTAACGAGCCATTGAGAAATAAAAACCTACAGAAGAAAATATCGGAGATTGATCTGAAGAAGAAAAAGGCGGAAATCACTTCGAAATTGGAGTCTATTAAGACGCCTTTTGTATTATCACAACGTCTCAACAATTTTTATCTATATTTGAATAAAATTTGAAAAAAAAATTCTCTTATTTCTGCCCACAATAACTGTTGTTATGTATGAAGTGTAATTACGTAGATATTATTTTCAATGATTATTTGGATTGTTCAGAGCATGTTATGAACTGATACCAGTAACAATAACTGACGTTAGCTACTGAGCTCAGCTGAGGACGCGTATGGACACTACTGTATTCTCTTTCTGTCACATTCTTAACTTATGCGGTAGTTCATACTCGACCGTTCTTGCTATGTGCATGCACGTCGTGTTGAGAAGAGAGAAAGAGATCGAGTATGAACTACCGCATGAGTTAAGAATAAAGCGAATAAAGTAGTTTCCATACTCGTCAGCAGCTGAGCTCGGCAGCTAACGTCAGTCAGTGCTGCTGACATCAGTACATAACACGCTCTGGGATTGTTGAATTTCAGTGTGTTTGAAATCAAGAAAGTTTCAATTGACGCTACATTCAAACATTCTTATTCTTACTCAATTTATACAATGTGAGCCTTATTATATAGTGGGCATGTGATTTGGTCTAACCATTGCGAATCGGTCGCTCAAAATTTCGTATTCCCCTCTAATTAGTACATTTTTTTTTATCAACGCTCATGATCAAACCATGTCTGATTTGTGAGTGTTCAAGGTGAATGGTATTCACTGATTACAAGTTTGTACAGTCATGAATTCCGTTATTTCCAACCTTAGCTCATTAGCGTATGTTATTTCTATTAAATCATCATTCTCAATCAGAAAAGAACAATTCTGAATTGTATCGACAATTTTTTTTTTCTTCTTAAAAATCACATCCCAGTCAAAGTCTTATAAATCACATCTAACCAATAGTTGTGAAAATATTTCTCAATTGGTCAGTTTCGTCATTGAAACTGGTCTATATTGAAAAAAAAAAGAATAACGAAAAAACGTGAAATAAAAACGAAACAATTGTGTGCTTGTTAACCGAATTGAACTGAATTCGTAATTCTTGAAAGAGAGTTGAAATTGATTGTGTCATTGAATAGTTGTATTTTTCAGAATGAAAATGCGAAAACCGATCGTAAATGAATGCTGCTGCAATTTCAAGTTGAACCCCGGAGGATATATTCTGGGATGGTCTGTGGTGGTAGTGTTTACAGTATGTTTATTCTTGTCAATTTCGGTAATGGTCGAAAAATATCCGGATTGGTATCAAATTCTCAATCTTATTTATATCAGTAAGTAAATTCTATTGTATGAAATATTTTTTTTTTCATTAAATTCTGAACATGATCTCCATCATAGGCATTGGATTAATGGTATTCATTCTCTGGCTGATCGGAATTTATCGTGTAAGTGAATTGATGATGTGATTTTTGGTGGTATGGTAAAAAAAACCGTTGATAAAAAAAATGTAACATTCTCAATAGGAGAGAGTATTGCTAATGAAACCAGCAATCTTTTGGGCGATATTTAGCGTTTTCTTTGGATTGACCAAATTGGGCTTGTCCATTGCTGGTTATGACGATCCCGTTTTCCGTATAATAAATCATCCTTGCGGCGAAAATGAACAAATTTGTACTTATATCATAAGTATCAGCAACGCTCTTATTCTCACTGGTTCGTTAAATGCAAAGAACAATGTGGTTAGCAACAACTATATTATATCATTGATTATTTACCACTTTTTTCAGGTTTTAGTGTATATTTGACCGTCGTGATGTATTCCGTATTCGTTTTAATCAATACAAATAATCGATTCAAATTACAAATTTCACCGAGCCGTCCATGAGAATGATGAAGTTTTTTTTTAAATGTTTGAATTCAGAAAGATACGAATAAAACCATTTCTCAGTAAATTTCAATCGTTTTTTTTTGGCTTTGTGTTGCCCAAATCGGTGTGCTTGACTTACGTAATACATATGTATGGTTAGCGGTAACGTTTTGAAGTTGTGCGCACACGAAAAAAAAAATGCGAACATCAGACGTTAATAATTTAATACCTAAAGAATCAATTATAGGTGGGTTTAATAAAATAAAATAAAAAAATATCTACAGGTATTTCTATGATAAAATCTAAGCTGTTAACACAATTTCAAGTGGTAATTACACTGAAATGGCTTATTCAAACTTCAAATCAGTATTCAATTCAACTGTCTGTCGAACCACGTAAGTCGTCTATACTTGTTGAATGAAACTTCAAATTGGTTTGTTAACTAACTCTATTCCATAGGTATTTCTATGATGATACTTATTACTAATAAGTTAATACCTGACTCTTCCATCCTAATTACTTTCGACCGTCACCAAAATATGATTCATTATTGAAATTTCCATCGACGTAATGGACGTTTACTCCGACCAACATTGAATGCTCATTAGAAAAATCATTAAAACCTTTCCAATCGTACAGTTTACATTCCGACGTTGAACAAACAACACCTCCAATAGCGTTGCTGGTGAACCTTGAAAACATACTCAATTTAAATTGTAAGTCGAAATCATGGCTCAATATGAGATAGTGAAAGATACGAATAAAACTAAATTCAAATTGTTTGGATTTGTGATTTTCTTATTCATTTTGATTGTGGGTTATATTGTGTTATTCAGATCGGCATCCGCAACTGGTATGTAAAAATTTGATGAATGAAAATGTTCGAATTGATCCCTATTATCTCTCTATGAACTTTTTCTTCAAATTCACATTTTTTTAATATCATTAACTCAATCAATATAGGTCCACCTGATGGTAAAACAGTGATTTGCGTTAAATTCATAAGTTCACCGGAATTGGTCAATGAATTTAAGACCAGTGGAATAAACCAAACGAGCGAACGTATAACCGAACCCGATTTGAATTTATGCTCACATCTAATTTGCTCCGATACTTACATGCGACTCACAAATGACGTGGATTTTATATGGACAAATGAAAAACGCAAACAATACGTAGACTGTGTAAATTCGCGCAGATCTTATCCACATTTAAAAGTAATTTGAATTAATCAATTGCATAATTTTTAAAATTATCACATCTAATATTTGTCTGTCGCATTTTGATTGGATTATTGTAGGTTTTGTACAGCGTTAGGTACACACCATATGGATACCTTCAAATAGGGAATGATACGAAAAAACGTAAGCAATTCACCAGACGCGTATTCAACATGGTTACTCGTAATCATTTCGATGGACTGAATTTGAATTGGCAAGACTCAATGCAAGAGTGAGATAGACGTTCTTTTTTCCTAATTTTCAATTCAAACTTCATGATAATTTTTTCATGTAATTTTCATTTTTTTTTCCTCATGTTTTTTTGTTTTGTTTTCAGATCTTTGGCCAATATCGATGCGCTTGGTGACAAATCGGGAATAGACTTATTGCTAAAGGAACTAAATGAAAAATTTGATTTGCTCATCGGAACTTTTGCTTCTGATCGATTTTTAACATTTATCCCACACAAAGAACATACAGCTCATAAATATAAAGACGTACAGTATATCGAGCTGCCGATCAAATTGTAAACCGCCGTTCGAAATTGTTCACATTTCAGCTATCATGTTCGATATTTAAAAACAAATCACCTCATAATGTTATTTATTATAATAAATAATTATTTCATGCTGTGGAACTGAATATTTAAAAATAAAAACAGAATCAACATTCATTTTCTAATATTCGAAAGACTTTGATTATAGTTCACTGTGTAATATTCGACCCATTTTTCTCCTGACAATTCTTTTCAATATTTGTCAATTATCACACATAAAACCGAGGAAATAGATCTTTAAACCATTATACAGCGATTCAAACTAATTGAAAAGTCATCTATAGCAAAACATAGTCTTTACATCCGTTCAATTACACTCGAACGAAATTGAGGAAATATTCAAATAGTTGTCCATCAATTTGTTGAGTTTTGAAAATGGCATCACCACTCGTTGAAAATTTCTGTTGCTTCAGCTTAAGATGGGGCGGCTTAATGTTAGGTTGGTTTTTCCTTATCGTCGATTCCATGAGCATAGTTGTATCGGTTGTTTCAATACTAACCAAATCACCAGTCAAATGGTGCACGATCTTTTGGATGACCGTTTACTGTGAGTAATTGGTTTCAAACATATTCAAAACATCACGTTTTATCGCAATGACGCTTTTTAACAGGTCTATCATGGATGGTGTATGTACCTTGGCTAATCGGTATCTACAGCGTAAGTAGTATTATCCTAAGTATTAATTAATGCAACAGTAAACAATATCAGAATATTGAATGAAAAAAATCAGTTCGAGGATATAGAAAAGATGCTTTGTTTTGTCAATCTTGTTTTTGGTTTTCATTTTTATTCCGTTCTTTTTTTAACAGAAAAAAACATCGCTTATGATACCAGCCATTGTTTGGTCGGTGCTATACACTTTGATTGAAATTGCTAGTCTGGGCTTTACAATCGTTGGTGTTGAGACTTCGTTTTGGTTTTCCATATCAAAACATCCTACAGTTCAAAAATATCTGCCCGAATTGAGTATTGTTGGTGCTATTTTCAACATTGGTTTGTATTTTTCATGACATTTGACAGTTGTATTCATTTCATGACTCATTCCATTATACTTCCAATGCATTTTCTTATTCATTTTATTTTACCGACTTATTCACAGCGTTGAGCGTATATGTTTTCATCGTATCGTATTCGCTGTATATTCTAATAAAGGAAAAAATCCGGCGCAGACAACATTCCAGCCCAATTTATCCACAAAATAATTTACACTTTTAATAATCAGTACTAAAATCGATTTTGGATAGAATAAGTTGAGCATCCGTCTATAAATGATTGAAATGTCAATACACACAGAAAAGAATCCCCGGAAATTTTAGGTGTTCGCCGTAAAATTTGACATTTATATATAAATTTCTATATACA